TTTAAAATCCTCAGAGCAGTAAGATTTAAACTTGCAAACAGAGTTAAGGACTCAAAAAAGGACCAAGAAAGGATGAATTACTTTTCATCGTGCAAAATTTTGTGCTAAAACCTAAAGAAGAATTTGCTTTTTAAAAGCTGAAATTCTCCAGATGAGCTTGCCAGAGCACTCCCAGGCAGCTGCAGGGTAGCTTTCTCCATCTATAGTGGAAAAAATTAACATATAATTAGAAAGATTTCATAAGCTCGTTTGTGCCACATTACATGTGGGACTGTTGGAAAGCACTTTGTCATTTTGATGGGCGATATTTGCCTTTATATCCTACAGAGTGAAACAGCTCTTCAGAAGCAATATGGGAGCTGCAGAAGGAGCTATTGTTTAACTCTGAAAGACACTTTATAGTCAAGTGTAATTTTTGCTCAAGGTTTTATAATGTTCCAACATAACATTAAATATTTAGATCAACAGGAGTTGGGAGTCAGATTCTTAATTAGCTATGATTTTAGCACAAAGGGATCCATATGAAAAGCCAGATTTAACTCCTACTGAAGCCGCCGGTTGATTTCCAGAGGGGTTGGATCAAGCCCTCAGAAACACCCACCACTTTCTAGCAGAGGGGGTGAATCCTGCAAAGTTGAGTTCATGCGTGTGTGTTCAAATTCTGCAGTGCTCTTCGGGACAGCCCTGTTCCTGCAACTTTGCAAGATGCTCCTTTACAAGACTGACAGGAGTGGGGTTTGTTCACATGAGGGCTTGGGGGGTGGCTGGGTGCAGGGGAGGATATTTGATAGTCTCCTTTTTAAGGCGGTTCAGTGGCCCAGACATGGAGAACAAATTATTCGGGTGATCAATATAATGAATAGTGAATAGATTAACTAAGCCAAACAAACTGAAAACTGCTTGTCCAAACTACCTGGAGAACACTTAAGAATAGATTCAAGCACAGATGTTAAGAGCATGAATGATTCAAGGGTAGAACAAGCAATTCAATTCCCACCTAAGATAATTCACCTCTCTTAATTTGACCAGCTCTGCTTTCTAGTGTGTAAATCAAAGGGGATTCCGAACAGTAGAGAGCAGCCTTCAACTCCCTGAAGGGAGGTTCCAAAGAGGATGGAGAGAGGCTGTTCTCAGTGGGGGCAAATGACACCAGGAGCAATGGTCTCAAGTTGCCGTGTGGGAGGTCTAGGTTGGATATTAGGACACACTATGCCAGTAGGAGGGTGGGGAAGCACTGGGCTGGGTTTCCTAGGGAGGGGGTAGAATCTCCATCCCTACAGGTGTTCTAGTCCTGGCTTGACAAAGCCCTGGCTGGGTTGATTTAGTTGGGGTTGGTCCTTCCTAGAGCAGGGGGCTGGACTCGATGACTCCTGAGGTCTCTTCCAGCCCTGGGAGTCCATGATTCTATTGTGCTCAATGAGATTAATGGGCAAATAAGCCCCAAACGACGTTAGCTAGCCTCACTCTGTGCTTACTTCAGCAGTAGCAAAGAAAGGCTCAGACTGGCCTGAGAGCCCATTGGTAGGGCAGGGGCAGTGACGGGTGGCCTCCAAAGGGTAATGTGTGAGTAGCTCCTCTCTGTGGGATGGGACAGTGCAGACACGCCTCCTCGATCCCCACACATGGCTGAGCCACTGACCCTGCTCCTTTGCTCACTCTCTGGCTGGCTAGATTCGTTCCTGGTGCCGTGTCACATCAGAATACCTCCCAAGAGTAAGAACAACAGTGACAGTTTCTCTCTGCCTCCTCTGCGGAGTTAGTGTGTTTTTTTCGCCAGCCTCCACTGGAGCCACATGTCTGTATGACACCTCAGACCACTACTAAATCCTCTGAGATATAAAGTATTCACAGGCGATGTTCCCTCTACCTTTTCCCATCTGTGTGCAGAATACATTTTGTTATATGCGCTGAGGCATGTGTGGATGTGCACCACCAGTAGAAACACATGCTATTGGCTGCTGCCTGCTATGGACGCTCTGCTCATCAGTGGGGAGGCATTTGAATCTCCCCTAGGAGGCCACTCACAGCTCAGCTTACAGACAACACTGTTCACAGGATGCCTTGCCTGAGCATTTGTGTTCTATCAGCGTGGCCTGTGGAGAAGGGGGAACTGCGCTTCCCTTTGCAATGGTGACATCTTGTGAGGGACGATGAGGCGAGAGAGTGGAAGTGGCTGTTAGTGACTCTGACCAATCGCAGGAGTGTTTAGTGTCCAACAGACTCCATTGCACACCCCACGGCCCAGGCATGCCTGAGGCTGAGTGGTTCGCTGGGGGACGCTGAGAACTGCATTCGAGCCACTGCTGACGTGCAAAACAGGACAAGACAGTAGCATTCTCCCGGTGGTGAATAAAGTACCATCCCCCCCAAACCAGTCAGCTCCTCGACCACACTTGGTCCTAAGAGCACCTCAAATCAAATGGAATCGCAACCCACTTCCCTACTTAACTGAGAGCCTGTAAAGTTAACAGAAGAGAATGAACTGAAGAGCAGGGAACCAAAGCTCTCATCCTCTGGGCTTTTGTTTAGCAAGTGAAGGAGAAGCCACTGCCAGAGGGGGGCTGGGTCTGACGGAGAAGGACGGGCAATGCTAAGCAGGAAGGCTTTGCTGCTGTCACAAACCAAAGTGACCTTTCGGCTAACAAAGACGTTTCAAGTCGCTTCACAGCTAGAGCCGTTCTCCAAGTCAGAGCTGTGAACTGCAGAGCGCTGTAGCTACCATGAGAAATACAATCCCAATTTCCAGTTTGCCAGACCAGAGACACACTGGGATTAACGTACGTAATTTAACAGCTAATTACAGATTCCTCTGCTTTTATTATTCACAATTTTGTGAGGGATTTTCCCTAAAAGATCCAAGTCCGCCGTATGCTCTTGGAGGGATCGCTTTATTGAGGGTGTTTTCCTCAGGTCTGTGTTCAGTATCTGCGAGGTGGCAAACTGGAGATTTTGAATCGATAGTCATTTTAAAAGAGCAAATTACTGGTTTTCGTTCATCGGGATAAGGAGATAGCTCTTGGAAAAGCACTTGGCAACGTTCTGTTTTTCCTCCTTATTGCTTTTCCCCACAAGTCAGCACTCTTGAGGAGCCAAGACCCAGTGGTCATTTGTATTCGTGAAAAGGATGAAATGTGTTAGAAATAGCGATCAGTAGGGAGTGAGGGGTTATGGGAAGTAAAACCTCTAGTTCAGCTGATAAACCAAAGAAAGCAGCAAACACTGACCCATGCAGAACTTGCAGAGTGCGTGCAGACCCTCGGGGCCCAAACCAACAGCCCCCTATGAAATAACAAAAGTTTTAAGAACAAAGTGCCTGGCTCTGCACACACTGAGGTCAATGGGAGTTTCAGGCCCATGGGGTTTTGCATTTTTTTTGGTCTACAATCTGAGCAATTTCTGGAAAAAGCCACATCTTCCTTTTGGAATGCCTGACTTCCACGCTGTACTAAAGAAAGGACCTTGTCTGGGTGTCAGCTGGAATCCAGCACTTGGAATGGTTTTATCTGAACAATCAGAGCGTCCTTAACACAGGCTACCATGGCTTAGTTCAGAGAAGACTTACACGCCACTAAATTCAACCTATTGCTCTCTCAGGGCATGTCTACACTAGGAAACGATTTTGAAATAACTAAAATGGATTTAATAACTCCTGAAATAACAACATCGAAATCGTGTGTCCACACTATGGGAAGCTTAAAAATGAGTCAGAGGAAGGCTCCATTAATGTGGACACACAACTTTGACTTGGAGCCCCAGGAAGCACTGGGGAGTGATTACTTCTAATGACTCTGGGGAGTCATTATTTTGAAATAGCGGCACTGGAGCGTCCACACGACCGCTATTTTGAAATAACTATTTCAAAATTAGTGTTATTCCCCCAAGGAAAGCTGGAGTACAGATTTCAAATTCTGTACTTTGAATTTTACGCGCTGCTTATTAATTCGACCTAAGCGGTGTTCTTTCAAAATAAAGCCCTATTGTAGACCAGGGCTAAGTGTAACACACAAAACAGCTGTAAATCATCACAAATATTCTCAGAGATCTTAGCTTAGTGTTGATAAGTTTGCCCTGGGGGTTGGAAAACCGTAAATTTGTGACACAGCACTGAATCATAAGGCTCCAAAAGGTTTCTTTTAAAAACCTTGGTTTCCCATGGTTTAAATGATCCATGCACTTCCCGTGTAGAACAGGCTGCGCTGTAGTGCAGTAGTAAAGTCGTCTTTATTATAGATGTTGCACAACATGTATTTTTTATCTGAATCATTCTGTTCACTTGGCCAGAAGGTCACGCTTTCAGCCCAGTCTTCTCATTTCCAGACCTTTTTTGCACTAAGAAACTTTCCATAAACTTGTTTCTGAGCTTAATTTTAAGTTGTTAATGAGAAGAATGGCTTCATTACAATAAGTGCAACCTTCAATTTTGAGTGGCAAGTATCTGTCCCTTCGATTTTTTTCTCACCTAACCTGAGAATACAAGTTTCATGGGCTGAAGGAGCTACAATTATTACCCAGCTAGACGACATGCAGTATAATTCAGCATTTCAACAATTAGAAAGCCAGACATTAGCGAGAAACTACTCAATTTTTCTTTCAACGTCTTAACCTTTTCGTAAGGAGTTTTCCCATAGATGGCATGTGTCCAAAACACCTGCACTAATTATACAGCAGCTAAGAACAGCCCAGAAGGTGCCATTTGTCTATTGTCTTGGTAACAGAGGATTGTAAAAGTTGGTCAGATGATAGAGATACACAATAGCATTTTGGTCTATCGGGTATAGGTGCATGGTCATTAATAATTGAATTAATCACAATTGGATTAATCACAGCAAGGTTCAAAATGTCACTGAGAAACCAGAACAGCATAAAGACGCTATTGTGGTCTTTTGGGGAAACACAATGTCAATGACGTGGGACATATACAGTTTGTAAGCACATTGAATCCTTCAAAATGAAGTGGAGAGTAGAAACAGATATTCATGAAGTGCTGCGTTCCTCCCTACCTTCCTCTCGACTCCGCTTGGCGCCCAGAACACGTACTCCAGCTGGAAGACGATTGCGAATGCTGGGTGACGGACCATCTCAGTCAGACGAATGCGGCTTCTCAGAACCAAAGCTTGACCAACCACACTGCATTGGAAGGTAACAAAACTACAGATGAAGT